GCTTCAATGACACCACACTGCTGGAAAAGGGTTACCCCAATGCCCCTCATGGGGAACCTCTATTTCAGCCCAATCTATTGCTGCATGCCACACACATGGGGCCTCCTTGCTGGTTCTCGGCACTGGGTGAAGAGAACAGTTTCTCCTGCTCAGTCTTCAGCATTGGTCCTACCCAGGTGGGTCAGACAGAATCCCAGGCTCTCCAGGCCCAGGCTCCTCTTTCTCGTCCTCTTCTCTTTGACAGTTTGCATGCCTGTTCACACACACGCATGCGCACCAGCGAGGCTCAGGACATCCTCACCTTTGTCCCTGAGAAGAGCGCCTTCCTGTACTTCAAGGTCTCACGTGTCTACTGGGGTTGGGGGAGCCCTTGTTGTTTCAGGCGGTGCTGCCCTGTTTCAGCTGGTCGAGGTCCGTATGCAAATGCCCGTGCAGGGCAGCTTCTTGGCTGTGACCACGCCTGGGAGACCAGACGCAGGAATGCCCGTTCAGGTTTTCCAGCCTCACTAGAACACATCCACCCAATGTGTAGGGCAATGTATGTATTTCAGCTGTTCCTGTTCCCAGGTTTTTGTGGAATTCCTTTTGTTAAAAAAATTTTTTTTCAGAATCAATTTATGGGATGTTCTTTGGACGTACAAACCACTTTGTAGTCATTCTCATTGGGTCAGAAAAATGTTTGCAAGCAGCTTAAAACCCAACTGTAGTGACTTATATAGGGGGCTAATTTTTCTTTTTAACAAGAAATCTGAAGATAGGTAGCCCAGGGTGAGTGCAGTTTTCAGTAATGTCCTGGGAGACCCAGACTCACTCTGTGTTTTTGCTCTGCTCTCCCAAATGTGTTGATGTTCATCCCGTGCCTGCGGCCTTGGGATTGCAAGATGGTGCTGGATCTTCTGGTGTAATTTGGACTTTCTAGGGAAGAAGGGGAAGGGAAAAGGCAAAAGAAACTCCGCGAGCAAGTCTGCCTTTCCACTTCATCAGGAGATCAAAGCTCACGGGCAAGAGCTCTAGCCCACGACCAGCCCAGCTGGAGGGTCCTGGGGAGGAGGGACTTATCCATAGAGGGATTGCCCAGCCTTTCTGTCCACCTTATTCACCACCAAACTTGGATCCAAAAGCTTCTTGACTGCTTTTGGAGATTAAAGCTAGCTCAAAGGTCAAAGCTGTGTTCCCACTGAGAATAGCCCAAAGAATGTGCCACAAGCTTTAAGGCAGGTCACCAAACAAGTTTCCGAAATGTTTTGAGCCACAGAGTAAGTTTTCATCCTCCCAAGAGGACTCCGTGAGTGGGAACACATTCATGTGGATATACTTCTTAGAAAAAGCATCCTTGTCATGACAACCCATCCACACCTTATACAGCAACTGGCAAGGATCCAAAAGTCTGCACAGTCACAGCACCTCCTCAGAGCCCCTGTGCTTGCTGCAGGAGCCAGTGGCCCCTAAGAAATGTCAGGAGTGAGGCAGATGAAGAGAAAATTAAATTCTCTTCCAGCTAGGTAGCCTCATTTGATGTCAGCAACTGAGGGACATTTTGTTGTCGTGCCTTGAATGGTAATGTGGAGGGGGTGCTCTGGGTGGGCTGCTGGAAGCTCAGACTGGGAGCAAGAGTGTTCACATCAGAGGGGAGCCAGGCCACACCCAGCACTGAGGGCCATGCAGCTGCTCTGAGCTCTTCGAGAAGCCACCTGCTCCAGAGACCTTGCACAGCAGTCACCTGTGCACTCCCCAGAGGCTGTGCCTCTGTGCTTGTTTTACCTTGTTTATCTCCCTTTGCTTGAGAGCTTTAGACAGCAGAGGGCCCTGCTGCTGGTGGAAGTAGAATCTGGTCGGGTTCAATGCACATCCCTACTGGACACCTCTTCCCCACCAACCTGGGAGATTCAGATGCAAACATATGTAGGGTGCTGTTGGAGATTTGCAGAATGCGAAATGATTCATAGATTCGTTTGGTTATCTGCTTATTTATTTCTATTTATCAAACATTTATTAAGGTCCTACTATGTGTCAGCCACTTGCTGGGGTTACCAACAGCCCTGAGTGAGTGAATCCACAGCCATACTCTACAGAAAGAGACCAGAGAGGAACAGGGGAGAAAGATAAACAGGTGTGATTAAGTGGCCTTGGAGCAAGCAGCCTCAGAGAGTGTGGGGGCCTCTGAGTAGGGAGGGCTTGGGGCAGTGAGGCAGGCCCAGAACAGTGTCCAGGAAAGCTGCAGCAGGGGGTCGATGCATGAGTGGGATTTTGAGTCCAGTCTGGTGCTGACTGTGATCTGCAGCAGCTTGTGGTAAGTGTGTGAGAGAAGTGTAAATGCAGTCTTTAGGATGTACAAAGAAAGAGCTGACTTTGGGCCAGGGGGTGGGGGGTCAGGAAAGGCTTCATGGAGACAGGGTAAGATCCAGCTGGTGAAGCTGCAGCTGAGACCTTACAAGCAGAGGGGACGCATGAGGAAGGGCATGGCAGTGACAGAGGCCAGGGCACCTATTGTGCATATTCAGGTTTGATTGGGAGGTTAGATCCACGGTGGGGTACAGCAGGGAAAAGACTGGAGAAGTACGTTGGCATCATGTTGTGAAGAGTCTTGATGCCTTGTTAGGGTTTTTATTTCATTTGTAAGCAATAGAGGATAGTCGCAGGTTTTTGAGCAAAGGAATGACATGGTCACAGGTGTTCATAGGAAGAAACTGGACTGGGAAACTGGGCCATTTCTTCCTGAGAAGAAACTGGGCTCTTTCATGGTACAGGTGCTGGGAGGAGCTGGGCTGGAGGAGGAAATGGTCATATTTTATTCACTCTGTGTAAGTTGCCTTCTAATGGGATGCTGCCCTGCTCAAGGCTTCTCTGGTGATAAGCGACATAACCCCTGCCTGCCCATGCCAACTTTATCTCCCTCAGTCACCAGGTCTAGTCTCACCCTGGAGCGCTGGTGTCATCAGGAGGGTGGTGTTTGTCAGTGCAGTAGCACCTGGTGAGAGGGAGGCAAGAAGCAGGTTGACTCCTGGACCCAGAAAGCTCTTCAAAAAGTAAATGTGTGTGTGTGTGTGTGTGTGTGTGTGTGTGTGTGTGTGTGTGATATTAAAGAGAGAGAGGAATTAATCTGGATGAAGTTATGTACCCATTTGTTGAGAAAGATTGGGGCAGCCGGAGGCAAGTGCTTTCCAGGATGACCTGGTGAGGGAGCTGTTCTGAGTGTCGGCAGGTCCTCAGCGGTGGGTTCCTGGGTCACAGTTGACTCACCGCTTGCTTGGCCAACCTGAGTCTGAGAAATCCACAGTGTGGTCACACCTGGAATATGTATGCAACTTTGAGCACGGTTTTAAAAGAAAACAGAGTTAGACAGGCCCTCAGATGGCCCCTAAAAGGCTGAAGGGCCTCCCATCTGAAGACGCGTTGAAAAGGTTCAGATTTTTCATAGGAAAAGATGAAGACCAAGACATATAGGCAGGATTTTGGAACCATGTGAACCAAATGAATAGAAGAAACAGGGACTGTGCACCCAAACCAAGACTTCTGGAGGATCTGCAGGGATCTGCAGTGCAGCTGGGAAGAGGCAGGACTGGGCCGTAAGGTGACTCATTCTTTCACATGATGAGAAGCACCCTTGACATTGAGACCTCGGCGGCTGGTGGGGAAAATGCATGTAAATGGATGTGAGCAAGGTCACTTCACTTCCAGGAAGGTAGACCCACCACGAGGTGTTGAGGCAAGCCAGCAGCATCTGTGGNCTTCACTTCCAGGAAGGTAGACCCACCACGAGGTGTTGAGGCAAGCCAGCAGCATCTGTGGACTGGGCTTAGTCTTTTGCAGTTGACCCCATGATGGACAGTGATGCTTCCCAGGAAGCTCCACTTGGTGGCGTCCCTCTGGGAGGTCCTGACTCACATGAAAAGGGGCTTTCTGTTTCATTCCGCATGTGCTTGAATCTCCAAGGTGACCAACACCAAGCTGTGGGATTTTTAAACTCTCTTGACTTTTATTTCTTCTGTGTCAAATTATGATGATTTAATGCTAATCAACATCTCAAGAGTGTTATATGCCTTGAGGCGTCAAGGCTGTCAGTGACGTGAAAGGGCAGTACTCTCCAAAGGCCACGTAGAGACGACTCTCCATCATCACCCAAGGTCATGAGGAGCACACACGCACACACAGATGCACACGCACACACACACGCATGCACACACACACATGCACACGCACACACACACGTGCATGCTCACACGTATGCACTTACATGTGCACATCACGGTTGGCTAAATAGCTTCAGTGT